GGCTAGAAGGAGACCCAACACCGCAATTTCTTTGTCCTACCATCCAGCCTCTTACTTTTTTTTCCCCATGTGTTTTTTTTTTTTTTCTTTTTTGAGACGGAGTCTTACTCTGTCACCAGGCTGGAGTGCAGTGGCGCGATCTCAGCTCACTGCAACCTCCACTTCCCAGGTTCAAGCAATTCTCCTGCCTCAGCCTCCTGAGTAGCTGGGATGACAGTCGCACACCACCACGCCCAGCTAATTAGTAGAGACGGGGTTTCACCATGTCGGCCAGGATGGTCTCCATCTCCTGACCTCATGAGATGGAGGGATTACAGGCATGAGCCACTGCGCCCGCCTCCGCCTCCCAATGTGCTAGGATTATAGGTGTGAGCCCCAGCTCCCAGCCCCCTGTGTCGTTTGATCAAGAAGTTTGATCATCAGAACTTCTATAGGCCCTCCATTATAAGTCTAGTGTTTATTCATTTATTCGCTCATTCATTTATTCAACAAAGAATGACTCGTGCCCTTCTTTGTGCCGGACCTCCACTGGTTCTGAATGTATACGAATAACTGAAAGAACCCCTGCCTTTAAGAATCCGTCTGGGGTTGAGCAGGGAGCCAGAGATTTGAGAAAAGCCTTGTCAAGATCTGGAAGGTATTCATGCTAATTTTCTACAGTGTGATTCCCTTCACTGTCCAGTACAGTAGCCACCAGCCGCGGATGGTTAGATTTATATTTCAGTTAGTTGAAATTAAACAGAAAATTGAAATTTCAATAGCCTTATGTGGATTGCGGCTACTGTATTAGACAGTGCAGATATTGAACTTTTTCATCATTGCGGGATGTTCTGAATCAGAACTGAATCAGACTGTAAGCTCCTTGAAGGCAGAGCCATATCTGCCTCTGCCCATCAGTGTACCCTAGGTGCCAAGCATCTGGTGAACACTCAGTAAGTATGTACTGAATGACCATGGGAGAGGATAATAAGGAGTGTAAAAGAAGAATGTACAAACAACCAGAAGAGAGGTACACTGCTCTGGAAGAATGTCTAGAAGAGGTATCCCTCACGTTCCGTCAAAAAAGAGAGAGGAAGGGTGCCTGCTCCAGAAGGGAGAATGATTGTGGTCTCACTGACTTCTTTCTGTGTTCTGATGTGTCAAGCCACACAAGGTGTTACTATTTTCTTTGCAAGGGAAGGAAAATTCATAGCACTCATGCTGTGTTCTCTCCTTGGGCATCTTTGAGAGGTGAGATCTCACTCAGAGGGCCAGATGTGATACAAATACGAGTTAGTCATCTAGGTGTGAGATCAACTGGATTGCAGAAAACAAATGTTTTCATGCATGAGGCCAATACAAAGCTTTGCAAGCATGTCTGACACATGGAGGCTTCGTGATCTGTGAGTGAGGTGAAAATGAAATGCACCATTAGGAATGTTATTAAGAATTTGGTGTGGGGTATGTTGTGATTGCAGGAGTGAGTTCCCCTGCCTGATTGTTTGCTTATCCAGTTCTTAGATGACCACCTGGTTAAGCTCTTGCTGTCTTCTAGGCACTGTGCTCTGTGCTGTAGACACAAAGGTGAATATATCTCAGGCTTATCCCTCAAGAGGCCACAGTCTGGTGGGGACTTCAGGCAGGTGTATGGGTGATGATGACATAATGAAATGAGCTCTGCTTGGTAAAACATCACATGATGCAGGAATCAGGTGTAGCGTCCACATTTTCTCTTTTCCTTTAGCAAAGTCTGGGATCTGAATAAGAAAAGCAGAACATCTATTAGAACCAACACCATGAGGAGGGCCAGAGACCAGGGTTAGTTTCAGTGTCTTAATGCTTGAATCGAGCATCAAGCTTGGTCAAGATGCTGCATTTTGACCCTCATCCTGGCAGATTCCAGTGGCATGGCCTTGGGTTTTGTTTTTCTCATCCATAAAATGGGGATACAAACAGTGTCCTGTAGGGTAGTGATGAGGATGGAATGAAACAACCTATGTGAATCCCATAGTAGGCACTCAGCAGCTTGTGAGTACTGCACAGTTGGGAGATTGGATTCTAGGGAAGAGAACAAAATGATACTGAGAGTCTCCATTTCAGACTCTTCTGGGGGCAGGTGTAGATTGCTTCTACTCCAGCTGCCCCTGATAATCCAGGAGCCTCCCTATTTTTTTTTAAAGATGTTACAATTGTATTTATTATTATAATTAAATAAAATTTACAAAAAAGCCAAGCTGATACATAGGCAAGGGATTCTTTTTTAAAAAATTTATTTTACTTTAGGTGCATACTATATCTGGTATTTCTCCCTATGTTATCCTTCCCCACCCCTCTCCCCACCCCCCACTGTCTGTCCCCTACCCCCCTCAACTGCCCCTAGTGTGTGATGCCTCTCTCCCTGAGTCCACGTGTTCTCATTTTTCAACACCCACTTTTGAGTGAGAACATGCAGTATTTGGCTTTCTGTTCTTGTATAAGTTTGCTGAGAATGATGGTTTCCAGGTTCATCCAAGTCCCTACAAAGGAAACGAATTCAACAATTTTTATGGTTGCGTAGTATTCCATGGTACATATGTACCGCATTTTCTTTGTCCAGTCTATCATTGATGGGCATTTGGATTGGTTCCAGGTCTTTGTTGTAGCAAACAGTGCCACAGTGAACATACATGCGCATGTGTCTTTATAACAGAATGATGTCTAATCCTTTGGGTATATACCCAGTAATGGGATTGCTGGGTCAAATGGAATTTCTATTTCTAGATCCTTGAGAAATCACCACACTGTCTTCCACAATGTTTGAACTAATTTACGCTCCCACCAACTGTGTAATAGTGTTCCTATTTCTCCAGATCCTCTCCAGCATCTGTTGTCTCCAGATTTTTTAATGATCGCCATTCTAACTGACATGAGATGGTATCTCAATGTGGTTTTGATTTACATTTCTCTAAGACCAGTGATGATGAGCTTTTTTTCATATGTTTGTTGGCCTCATATGTGTCTTCTTTTGACAAGTGTCTGTTCATATCCTTCACCCACTTTTCAATGGGGTATTTTTTTTTCTTTTCTTTTCTTTTCTTGTATATCTGTTTTAGTTCTTTATAGATTCTGGATATTAGCCCTTTGTCAGATGGGTAGATTGCAAAAATTTTTTCCCATTCTGTTGATTGCTGGTTCGCTTTAATGATGGTTTCTTTTGCTGTACAGAAGCTCTGAATTTTAATTAGATCCCATTTGTCTATCTTGAGCCTCCCTAGTTTCTAAGGATGGCTGTGTTGAATGAGGAACTAGAATGCAAATGCATCCTTCAACTGGGGATAGCATCCTTTGGTGATCTGTCTAAACTTTTCCACCCTTCCTCCCCGCCTGAAGGGAATACAGTGCTCTTTTGTACCTGGGGTTGGAAATGTTCTTGGTGGAGAACTTGGGCATGGTTCCTGGACCCTGCCAGGAATGGCTGTGTTTCCTGAAAACTGATTTGCATGGTAGAGGTGTCTTGCAGTCTGTCCCTGTCTATCTTATGCTCTGAGGCCTCACCCCAACCCAAGCCCTCCACTTTCTGCCCTCTCAGAGAGCCCTCACGCATAGCTCAGGGGCATCTGCTCCTATATCTTTTGATGACAAGTTTCTGTCTTTACTTCTGTATCTTGCAAACTGCAGTGATTCCCTGACACCTTTTGTTGCTGCTATGTTGACCACTGTGCACCATTTCTTGATGCCCCTGGGATCCTTCTGTCATTTCTCTATTGATTGGGTGGATTTTCTTCCCGTCTTAGCTGAGTTGAGGTCCCTCTTTCTGTCTCAGAGTTTCTCCTCAGGAAATCTTACACCCACCTTTATTATTTTATTTAGTGTGATTATCGCTATCTTTTAATATGAATTTTATCTGTTCAGAGAATAATGTAATTATTGAGATATTTGAATTATTTATATTCTAGGTAGCATTTTCCATTCTTGTTCTCTGTTCCCTCTCTCATTTCTGTTCTCCAACCTTTTAATGCTTTTCATTAGATTGATACATTTTATACATTCCTGCTCCTTGGGCTGACTCAGTAGCTAGCTGTAGGTTGTATTTTCAAATTTCAGCATACATACTAAAGTATGACCTTTTTGTAACAAATACGATGTCCTCTTTGAATATAGCAAGATACCTGCCTCTGCTTGAGTTTCAGTTGTCATTAAATATGTCTCTTCCACATCTTACTGTTTTTTTCTACACTCAACATTATTAAACATCATTTATTATTATTTTCAGTCAGTAATTACATTTACTAAAAATTTTTAAATCTACTTTGTTTTGTTAACCCATATCTTCCTTTGCATTAAATTTTTGATTTGATAAGTTTCTGTTAATTTTTTTTTAGAGTCTGTGGTAGATAAATGTTCTTAGTGTAAGAGTACATGAAAATGCCCATTTATGTAATCCTCTAAATGCTGCTTTAGCTGGGTATAAAATTGGTTGACAGTTATTTTCTCTCAGCATTTTAATGAATAGCAAGCAGCTCATTTCTTACAAGCCTCTGTTATTGCTGTTTTCAGTCTGCCATTCCTTTTTGACAGTATGATTTTTCTGTCGTACTATATTTTAAGAACTCTTTACCCATGAAATTCTACAGTTTCTTATTAATATTATATGTCCATTTATCCTGCTTGGTACTTAGAGTGCTCTTTCAAACTGGAAAGATTTTCTTTTTGGGTTCTACAAAATGTTCAGCTATTCAGCTATTGTCTTGTTGAACCTTCTATTTTTAGAGTTATCCCTTGTATAGAACTTTGAATGTTATTTTCAGGATATTTATGTTTAAAATATATTTAACTTTTCTGTAAGTTTTGAAATAATTTCAAACTTACAGAAAACTATGAAGGACCCACTTTCTGATTAACCAGTTTTTTTTTAACATTGTCTCTCTTTCTGTGTATGTATATATATATATATGTATATATAGAGAGACAGACATATTTATAATATATATGCATTATTATATAAACTATATACAAAGCGAATATTTAGCCATTTACCTAAAATGGTATTTTTTACATGCAATGCATGTGGCGAATCGGTGAAGAAAATCCAAGTGGAAAAGCATGTGTCTGTTTGCAGAAACTGTGAATGCCTTTCTTGCATTGACGGTGGTAAATATTTCTGGGGCGATGACTATAAAAACCACGTGAAATGCATAAGTGAAGATCAGAAGTATGGTGGCAAAGGCTATGAAGGTAAAACCCACAAAGGCGACATTAAACAGCAGGCGTGGATTCAGAAAATTAATGAATTAATAAAGAGACCTAACGTCAGCCCCAAAGTACGAGAACTTTTAGAGCAAATCAGTGCTTTTGACAACGTTCCCAGGAAAAAGGTGAAATTTCAGAACTGGGTGAAGAACAGTTTAAAAGTTCATAATGAATCCATCCTGGAGCAGGAACCAGTCAGTAAGGAACAGGATCAACAGCCACTCAACCCGCTGGCAAATCCACGTGCAGAAATCTCCGCCAAGGTTCCACCCTCCAAAGGGAATGATGCCGTCAAACAGCAAGGCAGGGTGAAGAAGAATAAAAGAGAAAGAAAAGAAGGACGGCAGAAGAATATGAAAAAAGAAAAGAAGGAACTAAAATTAGAAAATCACCAGGAAAACTCAAAGAATCAGAAGCCTAAGAAGCGTAAAAAGGGACGGGAGGCCGACCTTGGGGAAGTCCCCGAAGCCAGCGGCTCTGCAGGGAAGAGGAGCAAGAAGTAGCAGCGCGAGGGCGGGCCCAAGGCCACGGAGCAGGAGGACGGACGGCGAGGAACAGGCAGACTTGGGTGCGGGGAAGAGGAGGCGGAGGCGTTCGGAAGCTGAAACAGATTCTAAGAAGAAAAAGATGAAGCTCCCAGAGCATCCTGAGGGTGGAGAACCACAAGACCGTGAGGCTCCTGCAAAAGGTAAATTCAACTGGAAGGGAACTATTAAAGCAATTTTGAAACAGGCCCCAGACAATGAAATAGCAAGCAAAAAGTTAAGGAAAAAGGTTTTAGCTCTGTACTACACAGTGACTAACGAGCATCACAGATCGGAAGAGGAGCTCCTGGTCGTCTTTAACAAGAAAGTCAGCAAGAACCCCACCTTTAAGTTATTAAAAGACACAGTCAAGCTTTTGAAATGAGCATTTCTGTATTTAAAAATGGATTCCATTCTACTAACTTCTTCCTTTCACTGCTGTTTATAAAATGTGTAATGAATTCCAACAACTCAAATTTTGCTTTCTGAAGCTGTATTTTTAAGTTAAGAAAAAATACATTTTTGGTATAGCTTTTATGAAAAAATAAAATATATTCTTGTCCAAACTTCTAAAAAAAACTATACAAATTATTATTCTTTTTCTGAACCATCTGAATGTAGACTGTATGCCTCCTTACCCCTTGATATCTAGTATTTTTCAAAAGGATGCTCTTTTAAGTAAACAAAATATAGTAAAGAAGTGCAAGAAATTTTGCATTGATGTAATTTTAGTCCATATTCACTTTTTTTGCTGTTACCCCAACAGTATCTTTTAGATACTTATTTCTTCCAATATAGAATCCAGTCTAGAATTCCGTGATGCCTTCAGTTGCCATGTCTCTGTAGTTTCTTTTAATCTGCAACAGTTCTTCAATCTGCCATTGTCTTTAATGACGCTGACGTTTTTCAAGAATACAAGCCAGTTATTTTACTGAGTTTGTCTGATTTTTCTTCAGGATTAGATTTAGGTTATGTACTGAACTACTTGATATGATGCTATTCCTTCTTTCTTATCCATCCCATCTGTCTATGTGTCCATCTGTCCATCCGTCCATCCATCCATCCCCTCATCATGATTATAAATTCCAGGTATCTTATTTTATGTGACAGTTTATAATCCATTACTGTTATTATTTATCTTAATATTGGAAACATTCAAGATTTGGCCAGTGGGAGCTGCTTCAGGCTGCCTTATTGTATGCCCTTTTGGAATGCCTGGCTATTCTTTTGACCACTTTCTACTCCTAGGTACAGTAAGATTTTCTAGCCCAATAAATACCTTACCTGCCCAAACACTAGAAGCAGCCATTTATCTGAGCTGTGGTTTACTTTAGTGGAATTGTTATTCAGAAACCAACATGTGGAATCTGGGTTGCTCATTACTGTTTGGGTTTCATTTCTTCTAAGCCCTTTTAGCTGACAGAGCTCAGAAATATACATAATTTTAAAATCATGAATTCGTATCAATACCTGTGATTCATTCTAACCTCTTTCTTGTCTCTCTGCGTCCTGTATTGGTGTGTCTTCTTCAATACAAAGAAGACATTTGGTATGTCTCTCTTCCATAGAGAGAATCCTGTTTCTCCAGAATATATTTACTCATTTTCTAAGTCCTGCACTACTCATAACATCTTAGAATTGCTTCATTCTTACCACAGTGAAAAGCAAACCCACTAAGAAGAGTTCAGGATTTATCTGTTGTATAGTCATAATATTGTATCCAAAATTATTTGTATTGGTTCTTCCCCTCTTCCCTTTTGATGTGGTTAGTGGTTATGTTATTCCTTTGAAAGACGATTAGGTTTATAGCCTTCTCTTTTCATTTAGTTTATTTCCACCCACCCATCTGTATTGATTTTATTTTATATCTTAACATGTTTTAACATACCTCAAAAAATTAAAACAAAAAGCTATCCTCAAAGAAGGGTCACTTTTTCCCCATCCCTTTTACTCCATTTTCCATGCCAACCACCTGTGATAATTCATTTCTTTGTTTCCTGGTTTGTTCTGCTTGCGATTTTTTTCTTTTTTTCTTTTTTTTGGAAAAATAAGCAAATTTATGTTATTTTTCTCTCTTTATGTTAAAGGTAAAGTACTTTTGCACTTTTATTCTCTTTATTCTACTGCCTCTTGTGAAATCACTCCATATTCATAGAGATATAGCTCTTGCATTGTTAGAGCAGCATAATATTCTATTTTGTGGATACATTGTAGTTTATTTCACCAATCTATGCTTGGACATTTAGGTAGTTTTCAATATTTTGCAGCTATGAATAATGCTTCAATAATCTTTTTTTTTTCCTTTTGGTGAACGTGGCATATCAGATTTTTTTTTTTTTTTTTTGGAGACAGAGTTTCGCTCGTTACCCAGGCTGGAGTGCAATGGTGCGATCTTGGCTCACCACAACCTCCGCCTCCTGGGTTCAGGCAATTCTCCTGCCTCAGCCTCCTGAGTAGCTGGGACTACAGGCACGCGCCACCACGCCCAGCTAATTTTTTGTATTTTTAGTAGAGACGGGGTTTCACCATGTTGACCCAGGATGGTCTCGATCTCTTGACCTTGTGATCCGCCCGCCTTGACCTCCCAAAGTGCTGGGATTACAGTATGCATATATATTTTTGAACCATGGGAGGTTCAGCTTTCCTGTTAAATTTCTAGAAGTGGGATTGCTGGGGTTCTTAAGAGGTGTATAAACAGTGTTGTTAGATATTGCTAAATTCCTTTCCATCGCCGTTGTACCTTTCTGTATCTCACACACAGTGAAGAGAATGCCTGACTCCCCACAATCTCTGTAGCAGAGTGTATTGTCAGGGTCTTGCATTTTTGCCAAGCATGAGATGCGTAAGAAATGGTATTTCAGTGTGGCTTTATTTTTCTTTGTTATGAGTTTTAATGTGCAGTATTCTTTTGGGTGGATTTGGAGCCAGTTCTTCTGTTTAAGGTCCATTTTTATGTAATGCTTGTGGATGGCTTGTCCTGTCTTTTGTCCATTTCTTTCCTGAAGGACTTTTTTGGTCTTCTTATCTTCAGTGTTTAAAAGTTCTTTACAGTTGGGGCTATTAGCCTTTTATCTGTGATACACAACTGTTTTTCCCGATGTGTCATTTGCTTTTTAATTTGTTCCTTATCCTACTCACAGTCCTTGTTTTCTTTCTGCTTTTGTTTGAAAATTTCTTGTTTATTTTAAATGAATGTTTTTCTCCCATCTGAGCGTTTCAAATGTTCCTATTTTAAAGTCCTTGTCAGATTGTTTCATGATACTCATTTAATTTTATTTGGGGTAATTCATGTTTTGAGTGTTGATTTTGCTGGCTTGTTTTCTAAGCCTGGATTCTCTATATGTTTTGGAATTTGGGTGTGTAGGCTCATTTCAAGGGGGAAATTTCTGTTTTGTTTTCCTTTATCCCTCCCTCTCTCTCTAATAGTTTTGTATTCACCCCCACCTGGTCCTGAGATCCTAACAAAGCCTTAGCGGTGGCTATCGCATCCCTTTGTTCCTTTGTTACTGTTACCGTGCCTTCATGGGGTGGGGGCAGCTCACTCCATCTCCTGGCTTCCAGTTCTGAGCCTGGACTCCCCCTCCCATCTTTCAGGGAAGACTTTTAGTCCTGTTGCCTTTGAAGAGTCTGTGTCTTCCCTTCGGCTCCCTCCACCCCACTGACTGCTTTGTGTCCGTGTTCTGCCTCTCATACACAGAGATGATTATCTCGTTTGTGAGTCCAGCTTCATTTTATTGACTTTCTCCTTTTGTATTTTATCTGTCACTTCTGTGTGTTTGGAACAGGGCACAGTGTCAGCGCGTGAGTTTATGGAGCCTTCTTAATGGGAAACAATCCTTTGTACTCTGAAGGAGGGAATGTTGGCTGTCTAGAGGGGAATAGAAGGAAGGAAACTAGCATAATGGGGGCTTTCCTATTTTCCAGAAATGAGGCATGCACCATTTCCTTAACTTCTCAGCGATCCTTCCATTTCACGTAGGGCAGTGTGGGCACAGAGCTGGTGAGCAAGTCGCCCAGACCTGCAGCCCGTGAGGGGGATGTGGAATCTGAATGTAAGCAGTCTCCTGGCTGGGCGTCACCCTGACTGCTGGGCTCGGCAGGTGGTTAGTCCCCTCTGTGTCTGGAATGGCTAATCTTTGGCCTAGGCCTGAGTATGGGGTTGGGAGTAGGAGAAACATGATTAGGAATAGTCACCGATTAGTTCCTCCTTTTTCAATGCCTTGCTGTCCTCCAGCTGACATTGGAGAAGTGCCTGCAATATGCTGGGTACTTGTTCACCCCATGTCCGTTGTTTAATTGACTGAGTTCAAAACGACCGTGAAAAGTGGGTACTCTTAGCCCCTACCTTTTAAATTACTAAGTAAGATTGAATCTCATTTCTCATGTTTTGTGGGAACAAGGAGACCAATGCTCAAAAGCCCATGTGGCTTCCATGCTTCTCCCGTGAGCACATGCAGTGCTGGGTTTCCATGTCCTCTGACCGCAGAGCCCTAAGCACCCACAGTTCTAGCACGTGCTTTTTTTCACAGTATCTTCCCTGCCAGTTTGTTGCAGTTTCTCAGGCACGATGCTCCTGAAGGAGAGAGTCCTCAAGGACTGCTCGGTGATAGGGCAGAGTCTGAGGTGCTCTGAAGGCACCATCCTCTGTCTCCTGGAGGGAGGGCCTGTTTCAGCCACCCACATCCAGAACTGCACACAGTATGAATCCAGCACTCATAGAGGCTCTGATCCCTGCTTGGCTCACAGGCGTGACATCTTTCTAAGTTTATTGGAGAGACGAACCCAGCGTCCTAGCAGAGGGTCAGAGGGCCTTTTTGCCTTTGATAGTTTTATAGCTTATTTGGTGAGCTGGTCCCAGGACCCTTGTCTCTTTGGGTGAATTTATAAACCCCTCCCATCCCTGCATCACTCTTTATCACATCACCCTACTGTTTTGCAATGTAATTTTTTTAGATGTTAGTTACTTGTTAACTTTTCATCTCCCCCACCCACAGCTAGCTCCATGAGGGCACAGACCCTACTTCTCTACTTTTTTTTCTTTTTATTCCCATCAGCTGGTAGATACCTACCCCATAGGAGGTGGCACGTAACTAGATTTTGAAGGATTGAATAAAATGAGAGATGGGTGGCTCCAGTCGTGGCTCTTGCATTTAAAATCTCTGTGACTTCCAGCAAGGTACTCCCTTTTCCTTATCTGTGAAATGGACTAACTAGAACAGCAGATGCATAAGACTGTTCAGTCATTGACACCCAGCCTTAGAGCTGCTCCAAACAGGTAACCCTCGAATCCTTCTTACGATGACAGTTGTTCATAAGCACTTTGACTCGGCTGGGAGGCCGTAGGGTTTTATTCCATCCTGGCCTGGCTCTGGAAGGCGCAGATGT